TCAGCGATGAGCATTGCCAGTGCGTCTCCTGTGCGCCCACCATGCCCCACCCACCTGGGCAGATGGCAGCCTCTGGACACTGTGTGGTCTCACCTCCATCCCCGACCCTGGGATGGAAACTCCTCTGGCATGCAGCACTCCCCACGTCACTCATCTGGGCATGCCTGCCTGTGCTGGTCAGGGCCTGGAGGCAAACTACATGCTCTATGGGGCTCCAGGCTGCAGGAGGGACAGGCCTGCTCTCAGGGCAAGGCAGCGCAGGGGCTGCTGGGGCTGGGGAGCAGCTTTCACACAGGCAGCGGGGAGGCAAGGAGTGGGGCCCGAGACCGAGTGCTCAGTCTGCTCTGCGGAGTAGGCATAGCACCTAACCCAGGATGCACATCTAACTCGGGCTGCACACCTAACCCAGGCTGTGCACCTAACTCAAGCTGTGCACCTAACCCGGGGCTACTCACCTAACTCGGGCTGCGCACCTAACCCGGGCTGCGTACCTAACTCCGGCTGCACACCTAACCCGGGGCTACTCGCCTAACTTGGGCTGTGCACCTAACCTGGGGCTACTCACCTAACTCGGGCTGTGCCCCTAACCCGGGCTGCGCACCTAACCCAGGCTGCGCACCTAACCCGGGGCTACTCACCTAACCCGGGGCTACTCACCTAATTCGGGCTGCACACCTAACCCGGGGCTACTCACCTAACTCGGGCTGTGCCCCTAACCCGGGCTGCACACCTAACCCAGGCTGCGCACCTAACCCGGGCTGCGCACGTAACCCGGGGCTACTCACCTAACCTGGGGCTACTCACCTAACCTGGGCTGCACACCTAACCCGGGGCTGCACACCTAACCCGGGCTGCGCCCCTAACCCCGGGGCTGGGTCCTTATGGATCGGACAGGGGCTGAAAGGGTTTGTGCGGTGCAGGAGATACTATTAATGAAAAGCATCCCCATTATCCTGACCCTCCAGTGAGGCCACCCTTCTGCTTTGCTTCCTAGGGGACAAGGGGACAAGGGGACAGGCTTTTCTCCCTCACTGATGAAGAGAAGACGGAACTGTTTATATAGCCTTTGCTTATCAGACTCGCCAATTAGTCCATCCCTGTGGACACTGGAGGACTAAATGGGAAATCCAGGAGCAATGATATCCCAGAAACCACTACGGAGCCTTAAACCAGCCAGTCTTACTCAGAGCTGTTTGACTTTGTTTTCGGCCAAGAACCCGTGTTTCTTGAGAATGTCCACGCAAACATGTACACATGGCAACAGGTAAGCCCAGAGAGGGGAACCAGAGTTCCGAAATCCAAGCGAGGTCTCCCAGGGAAGTCCTCTGGGGTGGGTGGGGAGGAGGAATCAAAGGCGACATGTTTAGTTCAGTTTGGACTCAGTCAGCACAGAGGACACGCACTGCTCAGCACGGAGCGGGAGAAGCACGGGCTCTGGGTGTCTCGGGGCCTTCACGCTGGGATTTAGGGAGAAACGTGGGACGGGCTTTCCTGCCCTTGCTTCTGCTCACCCGGGGAGGCCCACTGCCTGTGCGTAGCTTGACCATCACGGACAGGTAGGAGGGACCAGTGACTTCCAGGCTGGCGACCTGAGCCACTCATCTGACATGTCAGAAACTGCACCAGAGGGGAAGGGATGGCTCGGGCCCTTGGAGAAGGGGAACGAGTGAGACACAGTAGCTGTTACGGCTGGTCCTCTTCCCCATAGGCCAGCCCCCTGTCGCTGACAGCTGTCTCGGGGGTGTGCGGCCTGCTGTGCACTGCTCCCTGGGAGCGCCACCCGTGTCCTCTGTGGGTGCGGCCTGCTGGGTCATGGTACCCAGCCTGGTCCCCTGCCCAGTGGGCGTCACCAGGCCTTTCAAACCCAGGCCATTCTGGCAGCCGCTGTGGAGCCTGCACCGAGCTTCCGCACCAGCGCTCGGGCCGAGCTGCTAGCCTGCCGCAGACGTCTTGGTGGCTTTTCTTGGTCCAGCTAACAAATGCCATCTCTTAAGTGCCCCTGACTACACTTTGGGAGTGACAGATAAGTCACAAATGTCTAGAGGCCCACAGCTTCACCATCCGTGAAGAGCAAAGACAGCCAGCTTCACACAAATCATGTGCAACCCGCTCCTGGCCCTCTAACTCAGGCTACCAGACAAGCGTTTTCCCAGAAGGTCACACCTTCCTGCCTCGGTTTCTCCTCTCCACCCCAACGTGCTCAGCTGCCACGGCACCTTTCCAGAAGCCCGTGTTGCCTCCAACGACTCGGCTGTGCCTAGACACTGAAGTGTGAGCTGCTTGGCCACACACACTCTTCCCAGCCTGGTGCCTAGACACCAGTGCACAGTGGGCCCCAGCACCAGGTCACAGACAAGGGTTCTCCCAGCGGTGCCAGGCCCACCAGGCCACAGCGCTCCCGCCTCTAGCACATGACTGCCTCACCCCAGGCTCCAAGACGCTGCAGCCACAGCTGTTCTGGAGACTCTCTCCACTCAGGCCCGGGGGCGCCCAGCACCGACTCTAGGACACTCGGTGACAGGAGGGTACCAAGGCCCCTTACACCTGACACAGGCCTGCCCTCAAGTACCTGAGAGGAGGTGAGATGATTTCCATAAAGAGCTTTCTTTTCTGCAGGAGGAAGTTTTAGATCTTCACCCTCTGGCAGTGGCAGTGGCTCTCCACAGGGGGCGATGTTGCCCCCGCAGACCTTCACCATACCTACAGACATTCTTGGTTCTTAGGACTTGGGTTGCTATTGGCCTCTGGCAGGTAGAAGCCCCGGGATACCAATGAACCTCCCCCAGGGCATAGGACGGCCACCACCACCAGAAAACACCCAGTCCCCGTCAGCAGCGCTGAGGCAGAGAACCTGGTGTGGGGGAAAGTGGCGAGTGGCAGACAGCACTGTTCCCTGCATCGGCGATGCCAGCCGAGAGGGAAACGCACGACAGGAGACAGGATGGAGACTACCCGTGCCTGAACGGCCACTACTGACATCAGCAGAGGGAGCCGCTCGTTCCTGCTCCTGGCTCACTCAGAACCACACGGACGTGACCTGGCCCCAGCACCACAGACGGGCAGGACGTGCAGCAAGGCCTGCTCTCTGCTGCTCACCACCAGCTCCAGGGCAACTGTCTAAAGGCACTGGGTGGGCCCCGAATCGAGGCAGTGCAGTCAGCCTGCACGTGGCAAGCTGAGTGAAGGGAACCAAGACTGCTTGTCCAGCAGATCGGAGCAGCTCCCTGCGAGGCCTTGTGCTAACGTGGGGACACAGGAGTGACAGGGCGGCTGTCTGCGAGCAGCTCCTAGTCTGGCAGGGACAGAGGGGTAAACAGTGGTCAGTCTGCACTCTGGGCAAGGCGACCTGTCTCCCATTTTCCTGTAAAGTCCTTCTGGGAAGAGAGAAACAATACAGAGGAAATCAAGCAGCAGGGCCACACGGCTGATTAAAATCTATATTGCTACGGCAGCCCCTCTGAGACGGCCAGCTCCTGGGTGTGCACCAGCTGGGCTGGCGGAGCTTGTAAATAATTAAAAGGTAATTGGAAGGGGAGGCCGAAGCATTAAGTGGATCTCTCTCAGGGAAACCGGGGGTTTCAGTGCTGCCAGTCACATTCTCTTCCAGGGTTATATTCTTGTTTTTACTGACACACGCAGCTCCAGATAGCAGTTGGAGGAGTAAACTAATTAGGGCTGCTTAGGCTGCTTTGATAAGCTTGGAGACTAGGGAAGCGGAGCTGAGGAACTTTCCAGTGCCTTTTTAAGCAAGGCAGCAGTAGTGGGCATGGTACCAAAAGGTGATAAGGCTCGGGAAGGTATAGGCGAAGAGAGCGAGCTCACACTGAGCGTGAGAGTGAGTGGGGGCTGCCACATAGCTTGATCTGGAGTAACGAAGAGGATTTCGGGGTCAGCCTAGGCTAGATGGTCAAGGCAGTTGGACCCACGTGGCCAGTATGTAGTTCAAGTCCCAGACCTGGCTGCTTGTAAAACATAGCAGGTCAATGTGTGTGCATGCCCAAGAGGGAGAAATGCAGGAGAAGGGATTACAGCACGACCTTCTCCCAGGAGGGTGTCCTCTTGCTTTCCCTGCCCCTGTCTCCAGAAAGTGCATGCAAACTCTGGCAAAACTAAAAAGGAAGAGGACTCATTGACATGTAGAAAGTTGCTAGAACTGACGCCAAGGGATGGCACAGAGCCAGACACACACGGGGTCCTACAGGAGGGGCTGGTGGGAACAGCTTCCCTCTCTGCTTTGCCCCGAAGACGAGTAGGGGGTAGGTGCTGAGGACCTTCTCTCAGAGAGGCTGGGGTACTGGCCATGTTTCCTGTGGGGGAACTCAGCTGGTGAGCTACTGCCATGACAGGACACAAGGTCAGGAAGCTGAGCTGCTGCGCCCCAGGCCCAGCACTGTCATGGCCCAGAGTGGAGATGGCTACTGGAGACACGGGTGGGTGGTGGTGAGAGAGAGAGGGGGCAGCCCGAGAATGGGGAAGGTGCATGGCAAAGAGATATCCGTGTCCCTACAGTTCAACTGCAGCCATGTTCCCAGCAAGCCACCAGACGCAAAATTCAAAAAGCCAATAGACACGAAGAGCTGGTGTGTCCTTTCCGTGACCATCTTAGACCCTTGCCAAAGACCCTGAGGGCCTGTATTCTTCTGCGTGCCCTTCTCAGTCTCCGACACTGGGCTGCCAACGAGAACCCCACATGCTAACTGCAGTGAAGCACAGGGCAGCTCTAAGGCTAAAAGGCTACTTGCATCTGAAATGACTCCAGAGACCAGTTAGTTAGGAGAGTGACAGGTGGCCCGACGAGGATGATCATGCCGTCTGTTTCTTGCCAAGGTCCTCTCTGCCCTCTTCAGCCTGGGTGTCAGTTATTCACCTACGCTCAGAGCTCACCCACAGAACTGTACCTTGTCCTCCGAGACGAGGACGGGTGGGATGGACAAGAGTCTGGCACACAGTAGGCCCTCGAGCAGCTCACGGAGCCCACACTGCACCGACCGCACACTCACCCCGCTTCTGCATGAAGACGAACAGGTCATCCAGGAACTCCTTCCGCTCTGGGTCGCTGTCCAGCTCGTACAGCTGCAGGCCCGGGCCCCGAGAAAAACAAGTGAGCGATACCACCCAGCCGCGGGCAAGTGGGCTCACACCAGAGGTGCCACAGCCACCCGCATAACCACAGATGCCACTCGCTGGCCGTTCCTGCCTTCCCCGTGGGGACCGGAGAAAACAGCCCATGGCTGAACGGCCCCACGTGCCTCACAAAGGAAATGGTACACACCTTGGCAAAATCGCGCGAGATCTCTCTTCCCCGGCCTCCGTCTGCGTCATCGCTCCAGGCCAAACCACCATTCTAAAGGGGAAGAAAACCCAAAGGTGAGGGGGGAAGAGGGACAGCTGGCGTGGCAGAGGGAGGGCAGCCCTGTGCAGCTGTGCTATCCTGGTTCGCACTGGAGAGTGCGCACTGCGACTGCCCCTGCCACCTGCCAGGAGCTTTGTGGCTTTTGGCTATGGTAGAATAAAAGGGAGTCTGAGGGAAGAAGCACCCCATCTGCTGGGGAAGAGTGGGGCCGTTTATACCGGACAGCCCTGGAAGAGGAGGGCACGAAGGATGTGTTCTGGGAACCCGCTCACCTCCAGGGACTCCCCAGAAGTCTTCACCTGCAGGACATGAGGACACCCAGCCTGCTCCTTACACAACACTGAGGGGTGCTGAGGCCAGAGGAACAGGACACAGATCTGAGGCTGTGGTCTCTCAGCCGGGCCTCGCCATCAGAACTCCTCGGTGATGTGAGAGCCATCCTGTCTGAGGTTGCACCCGAGGAGCCGGCTCAAGCCGCTAGGGCAATGGAGAAGCAACGGAAACCCAAGGCTACTTTGATAGAGTAGGTCAGACGGCCGCTGTTGGACTGCACGGGGGAGACGGCAGCACTGCCTTCATTTACGCTCTTCGAACCTGCCTGTCAGGTAGCTCCTACCCCTCCGGTCAGGCCTTTCGCCACAGAAGCCTGCCCTTCACCCAGGCTGTGCTGTGTGCTCCGGGAGCTGCCTCCGTCCCCCCAAGGCGGACAGCCTGATAGGACTGTGAGAGGCTCTGCTCTCCCCCCACCCAGCAAGCTCTGAGAACGGAAGGGTGCTTACCCAGCATGTAGCACATCACCTGCCATGTCACTATCTGGTTACTGGAACCAACTGAGTACCTCTTCAACAAACACACAGGCTGGGGCCTGGCCCTATAGCCCAATGGTTAAGGGAACTGGATCCCACATGGCTGACAGGAGTTCAAGTCCTGAACCCAGCAGCTTAAAAAGCATGCCTAGTAAGCGTGTGTGCATGCCCCAACTCCTGGCTAGACGGAGAAATGGAGAAGGGATTGTGGCGTGGCCACACCCCACGACGGGGTGGGGGGGCGCTTTCTCCCACCCCCTCTCTGTCTCCATCTCCATGGTGAGCACACACGCCCTCTGACAATCACACATCACATACACGGGGCTGGCAGTGCCAGTGCAGCTCTGTGATGCTGGGCCCACGAGGCACATTTGCAGGCTGAGGTCTCCCTGTGCACATGCTCATGTGCCCAAGACTGAGGCTGGCCAAGGCTGGGGCTGGACCACTGCATGAGGACTTGTCAGGGACACCGTTCTCGCTCTCTCCCCGCCTGTCTGTCTGTCTCTCATGGAAGCAATGAGATAAGCTTAAAATATGTATGTGTGTGGCACGTATTTACAAACACATATATGATGCATGTGTGTACATGAACATATATGGTATGTACCACTCATACCACACAGGAGAGTCAAAACGTCTCTGTGAGGCCAGCCAGTGGCATGGTGGTTAAGGCAGATGGATCGCTCATGGCGGACTGGAAAACACATCAGGCACATGTGTGTGCCCCAAACCCTGAGAGGAAAGTGGAGGAGAAGGGACTGTGGCATGGCCATCCCCGGGGTGCTCCCTCGCTTTCCCTCTGTGCTGGTGGGAGCTCTCTGTAGCTGAGAGCTGGGTGTGGTGGCACGTGTCTACAGTCCCAGCCTCCCGGTGAGCCTAGAAGCACTGAGCCTCCGCATTCGCTCATGCCTCTCCAGGGCCACAGGTGCACACACACCCAGCAGGCTGGGTGTACAGAGGTGGGAGTGACACGCAGGCCCGGGGAGCAGAGGTTTCCTAGGAACACACTCTCTGGGCCCCGTCACGCTCTCATTCCGAACTCACACCAGTAAGCGAGGGCTGGTCGGACTCCCTGCCCTCCCTCTGCCTCCCATCAAGCTTGCCAGGGAGTGGGGGCATTACTCTGCTTCCCCTACTCAGAGCGGGCTCCGAGATGCAGGCCCCGAGCAGCAGCTCAGGCTGGGGAGGTAAGGAGAACCAAGCAGAAGTGCCACCCTGTTGGCTGAGACCAGTGAACGGCATGTGTGCGGACATGTGCTCATTTCCCGAGGCGGATGCTGTGGGAACCTTCTATGGCACCTGCAGTTCAGGGAGCCCAATAAACAAGTGGGAGGAATGTTGTTTAAAAGTAACAAGCCCAAACTCATCCACACATTGTAATTAGTCACCAGAAACCTGTGTCATCTGGTGGCGCCCAGCACAATGAATAATCAAGATAAATTACGCCCGTCAGGTCAGCAAAAACAGACGGTCACCGTCCCTTTCAAAGGGTGCAGCGAGTGCCCTAATGTCCAGGAATCCCTGCTGGAAAGTCAATCACCCCAGGAGCCTGACTGCGGAGTGGCATTTAATGGGGATCACGGCCGCCCCGTTAGGTCAGCTGTTTACTGCCCCAGCTCAGTTCCCAGCTCTGGAGCCAGAGACCTGAAGGTGATTCCCTCTCCCTGTTACCAGGAGAGATGGAAACGCTGTTTTTTTGCTAATTACTATAACTGCCAGGCACTCTGACTGCTCACTCAGAAACGATTTAACACTCAGTTGGGTGGAGAGGGTAGAATCCACAACCTAGAAGCTCAGACAGGGTTTTCCACAGCAGGAGAGGAGTGTAAAAACAAGCAGGCCGGTGTGACCACAGCCTGACTATGTGTGAAAATAAACACCCAAGTGTGAGGGCTCAGCTCCAGGGACAGAAGCCTGCCGGGATGGGGGGTAGAGAGAGGGGTGGGGGCTGGGCTTACTCCAGCTCGGCCCAGGCCCAGGCCCAAATTGGCTAGATTGGCAATCGAATGAGCACAGCGGGACAGTGAGCCCCCAGGTTCCAATGATGCAGTTGCACAGTGGAAGGGCTAGCCTGAGCCTTCCCAGCAGGCTGACCACAGAGGACAGAGGACTGGCCAGACAGCACAGGAAGGAGATGTGAGCTTTGAGCAGTTCACTGTTTGATGACTCCCCAGAGTGGCAGCTGCTGTTTAAAGCCATCACTGTGGGGTGTGGGGTGATTCCT